AGAACATATGAGCACTGTTTCCAATAGTAGTGTTGGAACAGTTGAGAGGCCACCCTGCCTGGAGCTGTCCAGTGGATTGCACAGATTTGTCACTTCCAGACAGGTTCAGCCCGTTTACTCACTTTCCATAAGAAAGCCACAACTCAGGGTGGAAAATGCCATAAAGTAAGCAGCGGATCACGGCCTAGACTCGGCATTGTTTATCCCACTCAGTGAGTCTACAGGTTAGATTAGTCTCACGTTTGTGAAAGGCATTGGAGGCAGACAATGGAGATGGAGAACCCCAGGAGCCCACCCGATGGTGACGAAGACCCTCAGGAGACCCTGAAATTCTCTGTCAGCCACGGTCAATTCTGATTACCTTCTTTCTGGCCCATAAAAAGGGAGTAAATGGGCTGAACCTTTCTGGAAGTGGCAAATCTGTGCAATCCACTGGACAGCTCCAGTGGCAAATCTGTGCAATCCACTGGACAGCTCCAGGCAAGGTGGCCTCTCAACTGTTCCAACACTACTATTGGAAACAGTGCTCATATGTTCTCTGCCTTTTGATATTCTGCTACTGCTGATAAGTCTTTTCACATTCATCAATCATTCAAAAACAGAACAGTTTACATTGTACATTTTAAACGAATGACAAACACGTCTCTCTGAAAAATGAACGAAAACAAACACACATATGCAGGATGGCCATCCAACCCTCACAGTTATAGTAGCTTTTTGTTTGATGTGTCCTGATGCTCTTTCTTTCTGTCTCCATGTTTTACAATTTGATGTGGTTTTATCAGAAGTTACATTTTCCTTCATAAGTGTATCTTTTCAATTATGTGCTATAGTGTTGGATTGTTTTTTTCTTATATAATTTTCCTGTGTACTTTATGATAGAACTTCATAGACCTCATAGCACCCCAATGACATGAAAATTAGGCCTAATAACTGTTTCATGTCATTAGGCCAAGCAGCCTAAAAACATGAAATGAGGTTCCTTATCTAGTGAGGACTTTTTTCTTTGCAGAAATGCTCATATTTACACGTTTTAGCAGATATTAGTATACTGTACATTTATACTTACTATAAATGCAGTAAGTTTATAGTAAGTATTTTAAGTGCTTAAAGTCTTTGTGTGTATGTTTGTGTGTCGATGTGTAACTTTGCTGCTTTTATTAAGAATGAATATGAATATGTTAATTTCTTGGAACAAGGCGTCCCACAGCAGCCTCAGGTTCATCTTTACCTGTACAGCTTTTGTCATTAACAACCCTTCTCTAAATGAACATTGTGCTGTCTGTGTTCTGAGCCTATATCCAGTGAGCTGCAGTTCTCTGGGAGAAAATACTTTGTTGATATTATTTGTCTCAGGAGAATGGCCTAATATCTTTGGGCTGGACAGGAACTCCAATAACCACTTATTACATCTAATGAATGCAGAAAGGTCTCTTTGAACACATCACACTTTGAATCTGGTGCAGTATGTATGTGCTCAAAAAAATTACAGGATAGAATAGAATAAAACAGACACGATAGAAAATAGCCTGGTCTGATGAGTCTAGATTTTTGCCACAACATTTGAATGTAGTGTAAAAATGTGGTGTAAACACCATGAACAGGACATTTAAGGCCAAACAAACAGACTGGGAAACAGCACATACACCAGGGCTGTTGCATTAATAAATGCAGGGAGATAAGTCAATGCAAAAACACAACCTTCAACTGTGCAATATTTTCTTTTCTTTTTTCTTTTTAGCTGTGCAATATTTCCAAGGAACCGTGCAATATTCTAAGGACTGAATCACTGTGTGTATTCTCACTTGTTCATTCTGATATACAGTCTTGTACATACTATATATTTTTTTCTTTGTTTAAAATTTATTGTACATATATACTTCTTTTTCTTAAAAGTGCCCTTTTTTTTACTTGTACTGAACGGGTTTGCATACAATTTTCGTTGTTCGAAAGCACACTGACAGTAAAGATTGTGGTTCTGGAAACCCTGATCCATCTTGCCTTGGATCAACAGCCCAGGTTGCTCCTGGTGGTGGTATAATGGCATGAGGAATATTATCTATGCTTTGAAGTCCATTAGTAGCAACCAAGCATTTTTTAAATGCCTGGGTAGTATTGTTGACCTTTCCCATCCCTTTATAGCCACAGTGTACCCACCTCCAGATGGCTTAACACATCCTGTTACAAAGCTTAAATCATCTCAAAAGGATTTTATGAACATGACAATGAGTTGTCATTGTAGTACTGAAATGGGCTTCACAGTCACCATCGCAGTCCAACAAAGTACTTTTAAGAACTTTTCTAGTGGATTATATAGGATAGGATTTTGAACGGGATTTTCATCATTAATGTGGAAGCCAATGAACGTGCAGCAGCTATGTGATGCTATTGGACCAAAATCCTAAAAGGATTGTTTCCATCACCTTGTTGAGTATATGCTACAAGAACTGAGGGAGTTA